AAGGCTTTTTTGAAGTCAAGATATATGACATCTATCTCTTCTCCTTTGTCCAGGTGACAGGTCACCTGGTCATAGAAGGAAATGAGATTGGTCAAGCAAGACCTACCCGCAACAAACCCGTGCTGGCTATCCCTTAGGATGACAGCATCAGCCAGTCCATTAAGGATGGCCTCTTTAATAAACTTTTCTAAGATCTTCCCTGGGATAGAAGTCAGGCTGATGGGCCTATAGTTAGCCGGATCCACTTTCCTCCCTTTCTTGAAGATAGGCACCACATTGGCCTTCTTCCAGTCTTCAGGCACTACACCAGAGCGCCAGGAGATTTCAAAGATCTGTGCCAGGGGCTGGGCTATGATGCTCACCAGCTCCTTGAGTACCCTGGTGTGTAGATTGTCAGGGCCGGCTGACTTTAAGGTATCCAGCTTCTCAAGGTGTTCCTTCATGAGGTCAGCATTAATGGAGGGTAAGGGATCTCCCTCACCCGGACCACCCTGTCCCATGGTGGGCATGGGCGTCCCATGGGACTGATAAAAGACCGACACAAAGTACTCATTTAATAGGTTGGCTTTTTCTGGGCATCAGTTGTCATTACTTTTATCCATTAGATACTTAAGAACCAGAAACAGTTATTACTATATTTCCTTTCTTATAATGCAAACCCCAATTTTCAGCAGCTGTTCTTTGGGAAAAAGCAGTTCTTTGATCACAACTTTTTTGCTTGTAACACCTCACACATCATTTAACCCTGCCTGGCAATAGTTTGCTAAACTATTAAGGGACAAAATTCAGCTTCAGTTCATTTGTTATGCTCAGATAGTGCAAAAGGACAATTTCAGTGGCATAAAAGGACAGATATCAATTCCTCCTAGAACAAGGAGTACCTAAGTGCAGGGAAGGATATCAAAGTGATATGTAGTCCAGTGATCCTGACTGGCATAATAATCCCTCAAGATTTACTGACTTGCAAAGGTTAGATCTGCCTAACAACTTTAAGATTCAGGGTAATAAAAACAATTCCTTTGGCTCTCTTCTTGGCTCTTTCACTAACTGGAGCTCCGCTGAAAGTCAGAATTGCCCTATAGCATTTTCTAATGTAAGAAAATTTGAAAGAATCTTTATATTGCCAAGCTCAAGAATTTCCAAAGAACTAGTAGAAGACTTAATGAAACCTCTTAGCAATATGACAGCTAGCTGGAATGTTAGATACATAACTGCAGGAAAAGAATCTCTATAAAAAGACAACATGGGAAAGGACAAAGTTTACACTTAAATATGACAAAGCCTCAGAAGAACATTATGAGACATTAAGGCTGCTTCCAGATGTTAAAAAAAAAACCACCCCAAAATAGCACTTTACCAAAAGCAGCAGCGCATTACTTGGACCCGGCTCCGCAGCATGTGTAAAAATCAGGCGCTTCAGTGGGGCTATTTAGCACTTTTAGCTGAAGCTGATTCAATCACCTATTAGATAAAGAGCTTAAAAAGCCCCACTAAGGCACCTGATCTTTACAGATGTTGGGCAAACCATGTTGACGTAACATGCTGCCTCTCTGGGCGTGCGTAGGGCACAAGGCAGGAAAGTGCCAGGTGTAAAGTAAAGCACCATTTTGTTTTTTACATCTGCAAGTGCCCTTAATGTGCATTATAAGTGAAATGAAAGTGGTCCTGAAGCAAAATTGAAAGAATCCTCTATGGCCATAAATGAATGCTTAATTCATGCCATGCACCTTGGCTCACAAAAACAGTTGACATTAATTACAGTACTAGTTAATATAAAAACCCACTACCAGTTTGAAATTGAGTCTGTTTAAAAAAACAGGAATTAAAATAAGTTTCAAGTGCTAAACCTATTCATTCAATCCATATGCCAAGTTTTGTAGTTTAACAATTTACAATGTTTCTCTTACCCCACTTTTCTTATTTGCAAAAAAAACAAACAAAAAACCCTAAACAAAATGAACAAACAAAATAAATGGATTCATTGTAAAAATAAGTGAGGAAGCAGAACATACACAAAGTGCTGTTAAAAGCAAAAAAAATAAATAAATAATCAAACAAACTACAGGTTATATTCTCGTATATCATTACAAGTATTCCAAGGTAAAATCTAAGGTACTGTTAAGCAAAAACAATTAGAGTGGGGAAAGCCTATTTTAGAGAGAAGTGGGTGTGAGTGTACGTGTGTGTGTGCATGTGTTTCCAAACTGACTGATCCCTTTAACACATGGGTGTCAAAGATATGGCCCACAGAACCCCATTACCTGGCCCTCAGTGCTGCCCCTAGGTCCAAAGTTGACCCACATGTAGCATGCAGTGTACTCCGGACCAGTCCCACATGCAGGATCTGAGACATTCACCCCACACGGTGCTCGCCACAATCAGTCCAGCATACATGTTACGTACCTTGGCCGGTCAGGACATACACCACATGTGAAGCCTGTCCCCAGCGCAGGTCTCATACACGGCATGGATTCTAGACTGGCTGGAGTTGGCACCATCCCAGACTGGACTGGCATGCATCGTGGACTAGATGGGGCTGGAATAGCATGTGTCCCAGATAGGCCAGAATAAGCACTGTGTCCACTGGATGTAGCACGTGGGGTGGAGGGGTTGAGGAAGTCTGTGTGCCCAATCCAGCCCTGCACTACTCACGCAGCCCACAGGGCCAGATGAGTTTGACACCCCTGCCCTAACACATGCTTATTAAGAATTTTCTCTGGTTCTTACCCCCTCCTCAGGCAAGACAGAGGGTGGCACAACTCAAGAGAGTCAGGCTGGGTACTGAGCAATTAATTTACCAGTAACTAAATAATCCTACTAAACAACCCCAGTAAACATTATACTGGTTAGCTATGAATTCCACATCAGTTACTAAAGCACAAAGGGAGAAAAGGGCATGAAAGATCTTAAAGTACCTTACCAGTCCCAATAATCTGCCGTCTTCCTTCATGGCAAGGAAGCGATTTGCACATACACCTTTGATTGATACCACTCCTCTTTCTTCTGCTTGCAGTTGTAATTTGACTGGGAAGAAAAAGATAAAAATCAGTTTTTATCAGTATACTTCAACACTCAACCAAGGGTGAAAACTGTTGCTTGGATGATGTATATGGCAGGGATACAGTTTTTTCCATTTCTAATTTTCTGGCTCCGTTATCAAACAAAGAAAATGAACAAGAAACTAAACAGTTATCATATGCTTTACACTACAATGGTATACAGTTACAATGGTATACATCACTTCTGTCTTGATGTTTTGACCTACATGTAAAATCAGTGCAATTCATCACAGGAACACTTAATATGGTGGTTATGTTGGGGAGGTCATAGTTAAGTTTGACAGTTAATTGCTCATAGATAGGAAACTTCTATGTAAATTTCTTTATGAAAGCATTCTCTCTAAGAAAAACATGTGCTAACACTTAGCCCTTGGACTGACTTTGGACTGAATTTTTTCATAGGTAGATCCTTAGCTATAAAACATTAGACCTTTGTGCTTAAAAGGAATGAATTAGCACCATGATTAAGACCCTTGTTACTTCTTACACTGTGAGCTTCACAGAAGTTGACTGGTGTTTTGTGCGAGCTCAAGTTCGGAGCAGTCACATTCAGGTCACAGGCCTGAAGGACCGACTAAAAGGTAAGAATCTCCCTACCTCCTATTCTGAGCTTTCCCCTTCCTCCTTGACCCCTGGGCCTCCTCTGGTAGGTCCCTCCCTATATCTGGGGTTCCCCCCTTGCCACTCGAGGTTACCCCCTGCCATCCCCCTTCTCCCAGGGCATTACTCACTTGTGGCTGCCTGAACTGTCTGTCCCAGGGGAGCAGGCAGGGAAGGGTTAACCTGCCTGTCCCTCCACTACTGCTGCCCAGGCTGCTGGTCTTCTGGCCCAGAAAGCAGCAGCAGCAGTGGCTGGGCAGGGAGAGTTAACCCTTCCCCACCTGCTCCCCCAGGACAGATAGTGTGGGCATGCGCAAGTAAGCAGGGGAGGAGGGCAGGGAGACAGTGAGCAGGGATCTGGGGTGCTGGGGAGGGCAGAGTGGCAGTGGACCCAATCCGAGCCAGTGGAGGAAGCAGACCAGGTAAGTCATTTATACCAAGGGTAGCCTAGAGTGGCTACACCTTAGTGCAACAGAAGCTGGGTAGCACAGATCAGAGATAATGGGGCCCTGGAGTGGTGTCACTTTGAGCACTCAAAAGTGCTTAAAACCAACTTCAGGTGTTAATGTGCAGACAGTCCAGGTGTTAAGAGCTCCAGTAACCATCCAAAATGACCATGTAACAAGGCCCTAAGTATTAAGGGCTAGTATTTGCTAGTCACCTTAGGGCCTTGTTACACATTGCACTTTGAGCTGCTCAAATGTTCATCAGTGTTAGTTCTACCTTGAGTTTGGAGCAGTTGCATCTTAAGGCTAAAAACCTTCTCTGACTGTCCGCAACCTGCACAGCTGTGACTTGGTATTACAGGGCTGGAGAGCAGGAGTCTGACTAGGAGCTACAGCTTTGAGTTGCCACTACAGGGCTGGTGAGCCAGGACAGGCTTCTATCCCTGCTCTAGGTGGGGGCATGCGAGGGATGGGCTGTTAGACAAGGGGGGAGGGGGACAGAACATGAAGCTGGGAGGCAGACAGTTAATGGAATGGGGGTGGGTAATGAAACAGGAGGTGGAAAGGAAATGGGGGTGGGGAAAGGATGGTGAAATAACGGGTAAAATAAAAAGAAGCAAAAAATAATTTTAAAAGAAATAATGAAGTAAATTAAAGAAGGGCTCATGTGTTAATCAACTGGCATTTGGGTTGAGGTATGGGGGGTGCTGGTCATACTTCCCAAGGTAGCCTAAAGGTGGCAATGGTGAGGGAAGGCACGTTTGGGGGAGCTATTGTCCCTGCCCCAGAAAGGAAGCCCATGCTCATGGGGACCTGTTTCGGCCCTACCTTGTTCCCCTCATCTCCTCCCCCTCCCCACCATACTCCTGGAACCAGCCATTCCCTGTGACCCAGCTAGCTGGCATGTGGTCTGCAGGCTGTTTCTACTGGGATGCACCCGTGGAGGTGGGAAGGTCACACACTCACAGGCAGGAGGGGAAGTTGACTTGGTTCCAGACCATCCTCAGGGCAGGAGACTTCAGTGGGTGGTAAGTTTGTCCATGCACAACAAGAACATATGTGTGGGGGGGTGCAGTTTGGGCAGTTCATCTGTGAGGAGTGGCCAGATATTAATGGAATATGAGCTGGGTCACATGGATCAAACATATTCCTACCCTGGAGTGGCTTAACTTCAAGCTGCCTAAAGCATACTTAAAATTAGTTTCAGGTGTTAATGTTTGGATATTGCAGGTGTTATGAGCTCCAGGAGCTGCCTAAAATTAATGTGCAACAAGCCCTTACAACAGTACTTAGCAGACCTTGTGGAAGACCAAAAACCCCACTTCAAGTGCCTCCCTTGTGGTGCCTACAGCAGGCTGACCCTCTTCCTAGAGCATACCCGCAAGCCTGGGATAACAGCTGCCACCACCCAGGGTCTGGTCTTTGGCCGGGCTCTGTGTCCCCAGGGATACACAGACTTTGTAGAACTTGAGGGTACTTAACCCACTGTGAGATCTTGGGGTGCTTCCTTTAACCTGAAGCACAGTAAGTAGCCTCCCTTAGTCAGCCGATCAAAGGGAGCAAAAAGCCTTGCTCAATCCCTCCCAAGCATGTACAAGACTTACTATAATGCAGGGGTGGGCAAAATACAGCCCACGGGCTGGATGTGGGCTGCCAGGCCATTCTATCTGACCCATGGCGCCCCTAAAGAATTTAGAAAAAATTTATCTGCTCCTGGCTGCCTGTCAAAGACAACAGGAGCCAGTGGCAGTAGGACCCAGGGGGAGCCTCAGCAGGAACGCAGCAGCCCAGCCCCGCCCCACCCCCAGTCATTTCCCTGCTTTCCTGCCCCCGGGCTGCTCCAGCACCACCTGGCTCCCAGCTGCATCGCCAGACTGGGGAGCATCGAGCCCATGCCAGTACCCCCTGTGTGTGTGTCCACACCCCACCATACACATGCACCCACATGCCCCCTTGCACTGCCATACACGCAGACCCCCACACCCTACCACACCATTTTAAGTCATGGTGACTCCACAGCCCAGCACTGCTCAGTATGTATGTGTACTCTAGATACCATTTACAAAGAATCCACATGCTAATTAGCACCTCATTGCAACTGGAACTGAGTATTCTTGTTACAAGTCCTGCAGATGAGGCACAGGGATGCCTAAGGCTCACCCTCCACCCTACACATAGTCCCCCACAAACCCCACATATCCACACCCCTCCACATGCTCCCTCACCCCCCACACCTATCCACCCCCACAGGCACACCCACACCCTCCCCCACACCCCACATACCCACAGCGTCCCCACAAACCTATACCCACCCAATATACAAGAGTAAGACTCCATTTTAAGTTATTATACACAATCACCTCTATGTGCACTACACCAACAGATGTAAACCAAGACAAAAACATTTTTTGAAATCAAATTAATGAAACTTTTAGATGTTTGCTTTTTAGAATATAATTTGGTATTTTTCTGGTTCCAAGATGGCAAAACCCCTTGCTGCAAGGAGTACTTCTGGGGGCACAAATGCCGCAAAGTCAATGTGGCATTGATACCTACACAGTCAGATGGGTGGCAAATTGGCTAGATGGTCACACCCAGAGAGTGGTGGTGGACGGGTCATTTTTGACCTGGAGGGATGTGGACAGTGGAGTTCCCCAGGGCTCTGTCCTTGGGCCTGCACTATTCAACATTTTTATCAGCAACTTGGAAGTGGGCGTGGAAAACACACTGTCCAAATTTGCTGATGACACAAAGATGTGGGGAGAAGTGGGCACACTGGAGGGGAGGGACAGAATCCAACTAGATCTAGACAGGTTACAGAGGTGG